AAATCTATCTTGCACCTTTATAAATCTGCTATTCAGCATTGCATTGAATATACAAGGACAGATGTGAATATATAAGGAGAGATGGGAATTTATTATTTAAACATTTCATACCACATCCCAAACGGATCGACTAATAGTTAATGTTCCTGTTTTCTCCCCAGAGGCCTGTGTAATGAGGGGGGTAGAGGGGCTATGCTGATGACATAAGTGTTCATAGTTGCGATAAGAATAATCTTTAACAAAAAAAAAAAAAAAAAAATCAACATCCTCTACCCTACCAAATGTTCCAAGAAATAGAATTCAAGATAAACTTTTCCAAAACAGAAAAAATGGTCTGGAATTGGAATCAAAGCAAGGATGGCACTGGTCCTGAATCCATCATAAAAATTCAGGATGTGGAATTAGTAATAATATTTCAAACACCTTGGTGGATGGATCAGTTATAACAAATTCAATATAGAAGATAAAAAATAGAATAGGTTGTGCTAGAAGATTATTTGACACAACACTGTAAGTTGCTTCAAAACCAAAATGATTAATCTAAAACCTTCATATTATTATATATATATATATATATATATATATATATATATATATATATATATATATGATTAATATTATATGAAATTATATGGAATGATAAATGGAACAATTTGAAAAATTCTTATTTTGGCATGGCTCCTGATCAAACAGCATCGTTAGAAAGATGGATTTTACTCTAACTGAATCTACATTGGCAAGACAACGTAGTACCTGTTAGTCATATGAATGGTGGATTTTTTATTTTTTTTTAATTAGATTTTACTACTTTTAACTCAGTTTTTATTTATATATTTAAGTTTTTTTGCATCCCACATTGTTTCATAAGAACAGGCGATATACATAGTAAATATTTGTTTTGTCTAAGATAAAGAACAAAGAGGAAACATTTATCAATCTAACATGTTTCACTTTTATTAAAGCTTCATCACAGAATCTAATTTGATAAAAGTGAAACGTTAGATTGATAAATGTTTCCTCTTTGTTCTTTATGTTATTCTGTCAGACTGAACTATATTTCATCCCAACTCATATATATATATATATATATATATATATATATACACACACACACAAGTGAACATTGAAGTTGACACCCAGAAGAGACAGACTGTTTCATGCTAAATGTAATTGTCAGAGTGGCCTGATGATTGCATTTAGCATGAAACAGACTGTTGACTTCAATGTCCACTTTTATATTTACATACACTATCTCTGATATTTAGCATACCTTAAAACTATATATATATATATTAAAAAGAAAAGAGATACTGCAAACGTTTTTGGTTGTCATGTGGATTTTTTAAAATTATTTTTTAAAAATATTATGCTTTATTTTCCATAATTTTACTACACGTGTTTCTGGTCTTGTGACTGTCTTCAGGTAAAAAGGCGAAGATTTCCACATATTATTAAAAATAATTTTTTTCTTTTGTTTTTCAATGTCAAATATTCTCGATATGAGACATTCTGTAAAAACTATATCCAAACCCTGGGTACTGCGATGGGAACAAAAATGGCACCAAGAAAGACATTCCGATTACTAACACAAAAACAGAGAATGTCTCATATCGAGAATATTTAACATTGAAAAACATAAAAGAAAAAAATTAATTATTTTTAATAATATGTGGAAATCTCCATCTTTTACTTGAACACGGTCGAGAGACCAGAAACCCATGTAGTAAAATTATGGAAAAATAAAGCATTTAAAAAAAAAAAAAAAAAATCCACATTACAACCAAAAACGTTTGTGGTATCTCTTTTTAATATATACACTTTTCTCTTGTTGGAACCACTATAACCTCTTTCTTTTATATATATATATATATATATATATATATATATAATGCATAAAAGTTATCAAAGATTTCAGGTGTTTTTCCAAGATTGCTACAGGTTTTTCTGCATCTGTCACAGGCTAGGTGAGATGTTTTTAGTAAGATACTCTGAGGTTTTCTGTTGTTGCTTCCTTATTCTAGATAAAACAGACATAGAAACTTATACATAGCCTATATTATGTAACCAAAAAGACTAAATGCTTGATTTCTTAAATATTTTGTTAATAATAAGTGACTGAAAGACAATGTAGAGAAAAGAGTAGAATAAAGTCTTAAAAAGATTCACCCTTCATAGTTACTGATTTTTTTTTTACTTAATACTTGTAAAACCTGAGATTGTGATAAAATGCAACATAAAGACAATAAAAGAAAAAATTATTAATGATGATGATGATAATTATGCTTCATTTAAGAAAACCACAATTACATAAACATTTCTTCTCATTGGAAATTATTCATAGTTTTTCTGAAAAAGAGAAGGAATTTTAGACAGCCTGGTTTATAAAAAGAAAAATAGTTGGTCAACTGTTAATATTAAGTGGTCAATTATAGAGTGAAATATTGAGTAATAATTCTGGTTGCACAAAAGGAGTCAAATGGTGACCCGTTTATTAAGGAAAACAATTTTTTATTTTTTGCTTCCAGTCTATATATGCGCAACAGGGAAGACTGTGTGTGTGTGTGTGTGTGTGTGTGTGTGTGTGTGTGTGCGCGTGTGTGTATTTTCTGACAACTGATGTAGACAAATAGAAAAGATTAGGGGCATTTGCACAAATCCCAGTTGTTTTCGAACCATAATAATAATAATAATCTTAATTACTACTTCTCTCACATAATAGTTGTTAAATTTGCATTCATACTTGAGTCACTTCATCTAACAACCATTATGGGATCACAGAAGTTGTATTATCATGTAAAGGTTAATAAGTGTAAAACAAAAAACACGTCATTTGCCAGTGAAAAATCAACAGAAAGTAAAAATTAAAAAAGAAAGAAAAAAAAAAAAGAAGTGATATTTGGTACTAAATGAAATGAAAATTGTGAGGTGGGGAAGAAAAACTAAAATTGTGAAAATAATTCTTTGATTCTTATGAAAATTAAATAAATAAAAAATACCCCCCCCACACACACACACCTAAAATGGATTTAGCATTGTAAGGATTAAAATAAAATTGCTTTCACTTCTATTTATACCACTGCCACCATGTTTAAGGAGTTAATATTTGTTTTGTTTTTTGGACATATACATTACAGAGTTATTTATGCTAATCTTCTTTGGATTTCAAAAGTACTGAACATATTACAAATAAAGAGAAAGGCTTTTTTTTTGGGGGGGGGGGTATTTTAAAATTTAAAATCAAAATTTTTCCCTTTAATTTGATCTTGTAGCTTCACTAACCTAGCAAGTGGGACAGATACTTTTTTTTTCTTCTGCACTTTTATATTTAATAGCCTTGATTTATGCCTACAAGAAAAGGTCGATGGAGGAATATCAATAAAAATTATTGAGAATGGTGAAGTACCTAAGATTTCAAACTCTTGTGAGTTTGAAAAAAAAAAAAAAAACTATGACGGGGAGGTAGGAAAAAAAATAGAAGCAGAAAGACAAACCAACAGAAAGCAGGATGAGGCATATTTTATATACAAATGCACACACACACACACACATTTTATATATATATATATATATATATATATATGAAAAAGACAAAAGGAAAATTTATTTTAGCTGATGCGTTCTGTCTTCTGATGGACATTATCAAGAAAAATCAGATGATGAAACACATCTAAGTTTTCCTTTTGTTTTTATTCATATTGTTCTTTTACATCTCTCCACACACACACAATTTTTATAGTCAAATACTGCAGATTTTACAAGTACACAAATACATTTATTTAATAAGCATTAAATGAGTGCGATTCACCAACATTACTAGATGACTGCACAAAAGCTGAAATTCATACCAACTATGTTTATCTGAATCTGCATATTCAAAGAACCAGATAAGCATCACCAATTTGCAATACAAGGAGCACAAACAGGAGTAGCAGACTGTTATACTTCTATAAATAAACAAATAGAATGTCTGCAGTAGTGGTTCGGAAGATCTTGCTGCAAGGAGTTAGGCTTACATGTGGCACTCATACTTTTTCTTTATGGAATAGTTTAACTCACCGCGCATTTAACAAGTGTCTATGGTTAAATTAAATGAAATGATTTTTATAAAGTTGACTGGAATTAAAAATTGAGGTCTATCATTCTTGAACTCCATTTTATTCCGGGTAGGAAGCATCATTTTTTTGTTTTTCATGACATACTCAGGTAGAAAGAATGAAACTAGTATCTATTATACCACCTAACCCAAGACACTTTAGTCGTCATTATTATTTTATACTAAAATAATATTGGTAGTTACAAATGTTTTTATTTCATTAGAAACTGAGAATTTTACAAGTGAACACATGGATTCTTTCTACAGTGGGCATGGAAGTGGAAAGACTTGTCTAAGGCTTAAATGTAGTAATGGTAGTGGTGGTGGTGGTGGTGGTGGTGGTGTAACAGCAGCACAAGTTGCTTTGATTTCTCTTCCTGACCCTTTTTTTTTTTTTTTTAAATTATTGTAAAGAAAAATAAGAAATCTATTCATCATTAATTGTAAATCCTACAAAAAGAAAATAAACAGTAACAAAAAAAAAAACAAAAAATTAATAAAAGAAAAATATTTTTAAATAAAGAAACAAAAAAAACCCCAAAAAACAAAACAAAAAACACAAAGAGACACAAAAAAATTTACTGAAAAATGTTTTTCTGTTTGCTAATAATATTTTTTTTTTCAATTTCTTTTGTTGTCTGTTCTTTATTTCTTTATTTTTGTGTCTTTAAAGTTGGTTTTTTTTTTTTTCTTCTTCTTTATCTTGTAAGTGGTGAAAAGAAAAGAGGGGATACTGATAATGATGTGGGATTGAGTAAGTAGGTAGATAGATTCTTAGGTGCCTGTTGTTGTGTTGCGGAGGTGGTGGGGTGGAAAGGGGGTGGCGGGGGTGGGGGATATGGTGGGGGCTATTAGATCTGATTTGGGTTCAGGATCGAGTTGAGAACGGGAAGGGGGATGGGTTGGGTCAGTTAATCCACGGGATAAGTCGAGTTGGCCGTGGATCGCTGAGTGGCATTGCTTGAAGGACTTGGTCAAGAAGCTGCAGAGGCCGGTGGAGTTGGACTTCAATCCAGCAAGGTGTCTCTTTGATGCTACCCCTTGGGTAGTCTGGCCCCCAACCTTTCACAAAACTCAACCTCAGGATACATAAACGTCGGAGGTCGTCCACACCAATACCAGCAACTGCAGATAGGCCTGTGAAAAAAGAAGAAAAAAGACATGCCAGTTTCTAACCCCAGCAGAAAAGTTACGTTAAGAAAACAAGAGATAGAGAAGGAGGGGGGGGTAATTGATGTCCTAAAGAAGACGATAGAAGAGAGAGTAACATTTAATATGATGCCACAGTAAGACAATCATAGAAGAGAAATGGGTGAGGATGGGGGGGGGATGAAACTAATATTGAAAAAAGCCATTTTTAAAACTTTTGATATTATTAAGAAACGTCTTGCATTTGTAGTAACCAAAATTTGGAAAAAGATAACGTTAATCATGAAGAGTAATTATTTTTTTCAGACATTATTCATTTCAATGTCATCATGATTTAAAAATGAACTCATAATGAACCAAATTTCTTTATACATAATTTGGTTTTTAAATAAACTTTTCAGTAATTAAAAAAAAATAAAAATCTTAATAGAATGTTATTTCATTTTCAATTTCTAAACTGCCATAACAGAGAGATCAAAAGTTCTAGAAAAAGCAGAAACAAACAAACAAAATTAATTCTAAATCATGCACAGATATTTGATTCTTTTGTATCAGTCAGACACTAAAATATTTTCAAATGTTACTCAGAGAAAATGGTTGTCAGGAGGAATTCTTTTTAATTATCAAATATAAATTATTTCCAAAATAAGTGCAAATATTTAGAAATTAACTATAAAATGAACTTTTTAAACTCTTTGGAATTCATATTAAGCTTCATGTGCAGATGAATCCTTCAAAATCTTTTTTTTTTTATAATGATGATTTAGAATTTTTATAATGATGATTTAGAATTAAAAAAAGCCCTGAGTTGTGATTTACTATCAAATTCATGCTATTTCTTTTGGATTGTCTTGAATAAAATTCAAAGAGTAAATACTAGAAGTTTCCTTTTTCACACCAAGTTAGTCCATAAGGTTGATACATTGAATGTAAATTGATATCTATAAGTCTTATTTGATTCTCAAAACAAGCATTCAACTCTGATCTTTGACTTCATTACATATAAAACATTGAGTTAATCTAATTTTTAACTATTTTAAAATATTTACAATTTATTTGTCTCCAACTAAAAAAAAAAAACAATCTCAAACACATTGAAAATAAATTACATTTAACAAAGCATTATGGAAAATATTTATGTAATCTATAATTCGGATATGAGTTGCCTCCCTTGTTCAAGATTCAGAAAAAAAAAAACTGACCATAAATAATTATAGTAGATATCAGAGAAAAACATTCTTCATTTCTAGTGCATAGGGGAGCAACAGTGTGAGAGACTGGTCTCCAGTACCAAGACTACCATAAATAATACTATAGAGTTATTAAGGAAAAAAAAAAATTATATATATATATATATATATATATATATATATATAAGATTGATTCAAGCATTTAAGATTTTATTATATTTTTTAAAACTTTGATGAATGAATTTAAGTCATTTGAAAGTCATTTATATTTGAAACTAAAAAGTGACAATCCATAAAATTAGCAAAATCCTCATTGTCACCTAAATTTCTGTTGAATAAATCAATTTCTAAACAGTCATTTCACAGCCTGTGACTAATTCATAGAATTTCAAAAAACTCCAAAAATTAGAATCTGAACAAATTGAATTCCTCACAATAAAATCAACCTGAAAACAAAATAAAATCAAAAGAAGAAATGTGACTTTAAAAACAATTTTCCCAACAACTTGTTTGATAAATTAAACAAGTTCACCACTGACTTAATGACAACAATTTCTCTGCTTGAAAATTTAAAGATCATCTATCTGATCAAACTATAACCACCAGAATGCATGTCTAAATGAACAGAAATGCATAGATCCATCATAAATACACACAAATATACACAGGTTTATAGAATAGCAATAAAAAAAACAAAAAAAAACATACTACTTTCTGCATGGGGAAGATGTGGGCATGACATAAAAGTTTGGAAAATGAAATTAAAATTTTTTAAATTAGTTCTGAAGAAAGCAGGAAAAAAAAAATGGTTAAAATTTGTTTAAATGTACCAATTTAGTTTCTAAAGTTGAATAAGGACAGATTAAAATAATCTTTTTTTAATCCAGTTATTGGCATTACGAAAAAAAAAAAAAAAAAACAATATTAAAAAATCTCAAAACAGTAATATCAAAATGTATTCTCAAAATCATTTCATTAATATCTGTCTATATCTCTGAGATGAGATATTATGATTATTTACATTATTTGGACTGTAATCCTCATCTTCATTGCCATATCCACAATGTTTCAAGTGCTGTACACTCCAGCCTTCTTCAGATGATTGGCCCAGTGGGTAAAGACGTTACAGTGACTAGACCCAAAGAGTTGTGAATTCAATACCAGGCAAAAGCAGTGGGGAACCAAAAAACATGGAGAACTGAGTTAAAGGGAAATAACTGAAACATCCAGAAGAAGCATGGCATGTGGAACTAGAACAATCTACCCTGGCAGATAAAATAAAGGGTTTGGTTCAAAATTCCAATCACCTGAATAAGTCGAAACATTGTAAATATGGCAATGAAGATGAGGATAACAGTCTGAATAATGTAAATTATTTAATTGGCTAAAGTTAAAATAGTGCTTAGAAACAACACCAAGTTAAATAAGAAATTTCTTTAAAGATTTTTAAAAGTTTGTAAAGTATACATTTAAATGAGAAGTAATAAATTTTTATTACACAAATATTTTTCCTACCACTATAATTCTATTTTTATGTGAAATTATTTGGTTAAAGAAACTGCAGAGACACATAAAGCATATCTTGGTATAGTGTTGAAATCGGAACAGAGAATTCAAAGTAGACACACAAACACAACTTCTCCAAGAAATAAACACTGTTACTGAAATAAATCCATTAGGATATTTTTTTTTGTTTATGATTTACTTACCTACAGCAGGGGCAATCCCACCTACAGATGCCGGTCCTGGCACATTACCTGCAACGGCTGCAGCCTGGGCTGCAGCAGCAGCCTGTGCAGTTGCAGCTTGTTGCTGCATCTGACAATGGCACTGTCTTATGTCAAATACCTGAAGGGAAACAAAAGAAATGAAAGTACAATAGAAATGACAACACAAAGAAAACATTTATTAAAGTGAAATTAAATTAAGGGAAGATTTTATTATATATTCATTTAACGAAAATGATCAGGTTTACTAATAGTTTGGTAAGGATGGCCTGGTTAAGACATTTGCCAGAGGTAGCCTCCTAATATGTTTGTCAAAGACCTCCCAATCCTCTTAATACTTTTGCCAAAGGAAATTTACTAAAGTTTACCTCTTTTATATTTGCCTTGGTTGCTTGTGTTAAGTTTGTCAAAATTGCTTATGTTAAGATAGGCCCGTTAAGCTTGCCAATGATGCCAAAGTAGATTGTATTAAGCTTTCCAAAGTTACCTCAGTTTAGTAGCTTACCATTGGGTTTGCTAAAGTTGTCTCTTGTAAACGTCCTACTGTTAAATTTGCAAAGGTTATTCCCATAAGTTTGCCATTGTTGTCCGTTTTAAGTTACCCCTTTAAGTTGGCAAAAGGATTGCAACTCAAAGAAAAGCTTGCACATGAAGACTGCTGTTTGTGAAAGTTGTCCCTCTTAAATTTGCAAATGTTCCCTCCTTTAAGTTTTCCAAAATTTTCTTCATAAAGTTTTCAAAGATTGCCAACATTAAGCTTGCCAAAGTGGCTTATGTTATATTTTCCTCACTTAATCTTGCCATGGTTACCCTTGTTAAAATTAATTGTTTTAAGTGCCAATGTTTGCTAAAGTTAATCCTATCAAGTTTGTCAAAGTTATCTCTAATATACCAAAATTTCATGTTAATATTTTATTAAAGTTGCTCCAGTTTAGTTTGCAAGGTTGTTTCCCCTTAAATTTCTTAAAGCTGCTAGAAAAAAAAAAGTTGCTTCTGTTAAGTTTGTCATGGTTGACTGTTAAATTTACCAAGGTTGCCCCTGTTAAAAATAACTAAATTGCTCCTGCTAAGTTTTCTAAAAGTTAATGGGAGCAACTTTGGTAAACTTAACAATAGCAACCGTGACAAATTTAAAAGACAACTTTGAGTTTAGAGGGGGAAAGAAAATGGCTGAACAAGAAAGTGGACAAAGTTTAGAATGGGGAAAGAAAATGGCTGAATAAGTAAAATTTCCTTTGTTACCTTGATATACGCTACAGGATAAATCTTATGAACAGCATCTCCTGGTGCCCGACCAGCTTCCCGATCAAGGTAATAAGATTGTACAAACACACTATGGTCACTTAGACACTTAATCCAGACATCGCCTTCTCCTCTACAATCCAACTGCACTCCTTTGCCTATATGCAATCTGCAAAAGATAAGAAAATTTGTTTTCCTACATTAATTCATGCAAATTATCATTTTCTTGCAAATCTAGATCCATGAAAAATGAATGTTGTGAGGAACAAAAATTATCCCCCTATAGTATGCTGCCCCTTATTTCTTGCAGTCTTCAATACCTATCTTTTTATTTAAATGTTATACAAGCTTGGATCATGACTTATAAGAAAAAACAAGAAAAACGAAAGCCTATATCCACGGACAGGGAATAATATTGCATCACACCAAATTTTTTTTCTCTGGGCTGCATTTTTAGAATGAAAATTTGCTTACACCTCACCAAATTTTATGTGATAAAAAGTACATTTAAAAATAAAAAACAATAACTAATAATGCATTAAATGTAATATATAACACAAATAAGTTATATGATTAAAGTACACAAATTTAATGAAAGGTATGAGCTTGTTTTTAATGAGTATTCTCCTTTATATTAGGCCTAATTTGAGATAAACTCACCAACAGCCATACAGCAAAGAATGTCCAGAGAAAGGATTAAAGGGAGATAACTGTGGATTCGAATTCAGAACATTATCATTGAAAACTCCCTCCTCCAATTTGCAAATCCTAGTTACTATATTCTTAATACTTGATATAATGCAAAAATATCACAATAATAAAATCATACTATTTATACCGGGACTCATGCATGCAATTACAAGTAATCCATAATAATATTTTAAATTTTGAAATCATATTTATTTTTAGCATTTGAATCTTTTGAACCACACCATTTGAGAAGCACTGCCTTAAAAGCTCAAGCTGATTTTAAAATTTCAAAGACTTTGGCTATCCTGTGGCATAGTAACATTCATAGCAGTGCACCATCTGTGTCTGAACTTCAGATAGCTTCATGTACCACAATAAGGTTGAGTATTATGACATGAAGTCATCTTGATGCACTATGTAAGCTTACACACACAGTAATAAAAATTTTTTACACTATTTACATTATTTGGACTGTTGTCTTCATCTTTATTGTCATATTCATAACATTTCATTCTATGCCCTGGCCTTCTTCAAGTGATATATGTTGGAATTTCGAACAGAACCCTTTATTTCCGTCCACCGGGGTAGATTGTTTTTGTTCCACGTTTCATGACTTTTCTAGATATCACAGTTTCAGTTATTTCCCTTGTAATAAGTCAACTATTCAAGTTTTTGTTCACCTCTGCTGTGGGCAGGTATTCACAACTCTTTGGGTCAAGTCACTGGATTACTTTTAACCAATGCTTTTATCCACTGGAGAGTTTAATTACTAAAGGGGAATAACTGAAACTGAGATATCTAGAAAAGGTAGGGCACATAGAACTAGAACAATCTAGGGTGGACAAAATAAAGTGTTCTGTTCGAAATTGCAACATATATCATCTGAAGAAGGCTGGAGTGTATAATGACTTAAACGTTGTGAACATGACAAAGATGAAGACAACAATCCAAACAATTTAAATAGTATAAGTAGTTACAATATCTCATCTCGAAAATAGAGACAGATGCTAAAAAAATGTTCAAGAAAATGACCTGTTTGTAGCTAAGCTAAAAACAACAGAAAAAATGATATGTGACCAGAAAAGATGAATGGTCAATATTTTACAAATTGATTTTTTTCTTCTTTTACCTTGCTCTTTCACTGGCTTCGGTTCGATGCACATTCGATAGCTGACCGAGGCAAAACCGATCAATACTTGATGGGTCGGTGTAGCCATCTACTTTGACACTTGGACAACCTGAAGGAACTTTAAAGGTTTCTCCAACTTGCTGATCAAGTTCAAAATAAGTTATTGTGCACCAAAATTCTGGAGCTACAAAGAGAGAAAGAAAGAAAGTGACATGACTATCTTTTAATACAAATACTTGATCCATGCATGTCAAAAAGTATAATAAATGAAACATTATTAATTGATGAAACCATTGTTTTCCATGTGAATCTCTGATGGAATGTTTAAAATAAGTAGAATAGGAACAGTCAGAAATAATATGGCTACTATAATATCGATAGAATTAAAAGAAAAAGTAAAAACAGGTTTCAGTATTTTAAACTATAATTTGAAAATTAAATTATATCGTTCAATTGATGGCTCATTTGCAGAGTACAATGTATTTAAATTTAGAACAATTTTATTTTCACCTCTTATCTTTTATTTAATTTTTTTATTTTTGGAGAAATGGGAACAAAGTAGGATAAATCTTTTTTAAATAAATCTTTGGGGGGGGGGGGGTAGAAGATAACTCCATTTTATTTGAGTTCTATCATATTCATTTCTGTCTAGAATTCCTGGGATGAAGATTTATCATTGTTTACACTATTTACATTCAGACTATTGTCCTCATCCTTGTTGCTTTTTATTACAATGTTTCAGCCATTGTGACCACCAACAAAAGGTGTATATCTGGATAACCTATAGGGAATTCCAAAATGAACTCTTTATTTAATCTATGGGGGTAGACTGTTCTCATTCCACTGCCCATGTCTAGGAATATTTTGTCTAGTTCTTATTTTTAATATTGCTCAGTTATTGTTGTTTCCATTGAGTCCAAGTAGATACTGCCCTATCCAGAGATTGAACTCACAATTATTATGTTACCAAATTCACAAATTAATGATTTTTATCCACTAGGTTATTGCTACAGGACAATAAACTAAAATCCTGTAACTGCCAGATAAATGCATTTTGATTGTTTAAAAATCTTCTCTGGATAACATGAAGTAGATAAGAATTTTAATGGTGATAATCATTTTTAATTTGTCTTTTGGTTCATAGAAAATACAAGTGATAGTCATCACTAAATAGCAAAGTGTGCTTACTGTTTGTAAATTAAGAAAGAGCTGATGAAAAAAGAAGATATAATTTTCAGCAACAACACATGTAACATAATCCATACTGCACAAAGATATGTGCAGGTATGCACATTTACATATCAAGGCATGAAAAGAAAGTCTACTGAAAAGGAAAATGATTTTCTATTGTAATACTTTGTTCAGGGCATAGGCACCGATTCTTGTCAGTCAATGTAGAACTACATGCTGTGTGTCTTTTCATGGTCATCTCAAAGTCAAGAACCCATGGTCATGGTTTCAAATGTAACACTTGTGAAGAGATAAAGAACTGGACTCATCTGGCAATGTCCTTGACAGGAGATTGCTCCAAACAAAATATGTTTAGATAAAATGTGAAAAACTCACAAGCTCAGGGTTGAAATGTGACAAGCCTGAACAAAGCTATGTGTCACATCAAAACTAAAATTGACTAATTCCCAAGAATGATCCAAGCTTTGGGGAAAATGATAAATAAAACCAGTATAACTTAACAAGATTTTAATAAAATATACTTTCTTTCAGTTGTTGGTTACATACATTACAGACAAAAATGTTTTGGGACACTCTGTATTTTTACACAAAAAAACCCCACTTAAAATGAGATATTTTTCTATTTTTTTTTAAATTATAAAAGATAACATTTCAGCGCCTACAGTGAATTTGCTCTTATTTTTCAGTCTTTCCCCCAGGCTCCTCTTACTATCAATAAGTTCAAATTTGAATGCCTCTGTCCACGATACATTTTGTTAAATTATGAATATTTTGTATGAGAAAAATATTTTCTTTTTCTCCATTAACCTCTCTATACTTTTTGAGATTATGAAAATTTTCAACTAAGTTAAATATTAATCTATGTTCTAAATATTAACTCAACCCTGACCAATGTTGTACAAACATATGTAGGTGTCTTTGATTGTGACATTACAATAGTATTTTCATGTTTTAGTTTGATTTTTTTTTTTAAATTTTGAAGTAAATTACACAAACTGGCAAAATCAAAGCAGTTAAACATTGAGGTGAGGGCATAAATTGATATTTTATTGAAAGAAGCTTCCTCTCAAAGACAAATTGCCAAGAAAATTTCTAAACATGAGGGACAATATTCATTACAAAGGCAGTTAGACAGTGGCACAAATGTTGATAGAAAAAGAGCTGCAGTCTTAAAAGTGACAACTGTTGCTGAAGAGAAACACTTAATTATTGAAAGTAAAAGAAATAAATAAAAGAAAAACTGCTCCAGAGTTGACAGCTGAACTTAATTTCTCTTGACAGCAATCAGTGTCACTCTCAACTGTGAAAAATCAACTTAGATCAGCTGGGTTCAAGAGGTGCATAGCCATCAAGAAATTCCCTGTTATAAGAGGTAAATAAGCAGAAAAGACTTATAGGCCAAAAAATCTATAAGAACAAAACATTGCAAGAGTGGCAAAAAGTATTGCAGACAGATGAATCCAAATTTGAATGTTTTGATAGTAAGAGGAGAGTGTATGTGAGAAGAAAGGAGAAAGACGAGATGATGAATGTGTGGTTCCAACAGTTAAGCAATGGTGATGGCTATGTTATGGTGTGGGGGTGTTTTTTGAGTGGGGGGGAAGAGGGCTGTAGATTTGAAATCATGAAGTAAAAAAACAATATCATTCGGAAAAAAAAAAAAAAAGAACAAAATTTTGGAAATTATGACTTGGCTGCCTCAATCTCCTGACTTCTCTCTCATTAAGGCTGGTGGTGGTTTTATTTATTGATGAAAACAAAATATGATGCTGTTGTATGATCATTTTTTTTATAGTGAAGTGCTTATTTTTTAGTCAAAATTAAAGCAAATACAATGTAGTTATGGTAATTTTATCTTTTACTTTTAAAAAATACAAAAATATCTGTTGACGGTGTTTTTTTTTTTTTAAAGACCTGCAGAGTGTCCCCAAACTTTTGGCCTGTAGTGTAGGTGCTTCAAACTAACAGCTTCCTTTCTGTGAATTCTAACATTTTACAGCAATATAGAGAAGTATGAACTTCAAATCGCTCATTCACAGCTTTGATGATTATAGGACAGCAATTGCATATGCATGTTTGCTCCTTTTCTTACTTTTCAAAGATTGGCGTATTAATCTGGCAGTTTGTTCTTACAACTGCTCAGCTATGATCTGCATTTATCAGGCCTCTCACATCTCTTGGAAGTGTCTAAAGTGTGACCGTGACCTCTTTATATGGAATTCAACCTGCAGCCTTCCTACCATTGGTACAATTTAGCCCTTAATTTACATTCTTAAAACTCTTTGTTCCAGAATGCTTATAGCCAGCTAAGAGTTCTGATAACCTACTTCTTGAAAAGTATTCATCCGCTGGTGAATATACCACTTGATATAAATGGACCATGCAGCCCATGGGATAGTTTTGGCAAGGTTTTTCTAGAAAATCATTTCTCTAAAATTATTCTGCTTCAGGAACAACACCAATCTAGTGGATAAATCTTTATGAAAACAACTTAAATGAAAGGTTTTTTTTTTTAGAGAGGTTTTTCATGTTTTGGACTAAGAACGTGATTATAATTTTCACCTGACTTAATGTAGAAGGTATAATTTAAGTTAATAATAAGATGTGATTCTTTAACAACTCCTCACAGAACAATTTCATTTCTCAAAACTAACTTTCTTCATTGTTTCTTTTTTCCACATTTAATTCCAATAATCACAAAATGCAATCACGCTTTCTTTCACATGTTCTGCTTGATTCTATAGCATAAACACAAACTGTTTTAACTTTGTTTATTGACCACTTTCAAGCCTCCTTGGGGTTCTTATCCTATTATATGACTTAAGTGTTTATGAAATTCTTGTATATAAATCAAATCAAAACAAGAATTTTCTCTTAATAAAGAAAAGGAATGCATGTGATTCATTTGTAGAAACTATAATAGAGAAAGATATTTTTATTTTGAAAAAGAAAAATCAAATTTATTCGAGGTACAGAAATGTATGTTGTCTCTTCATAAAAAATGTAGTTGAAGAGCTAATAACAAAATTAAACTAAAAATCAATTGAAAAGAAGAAAGCAAGAAAAGCATGAAGAATAAATTAAAAAAGAAAAATAGGTAAAAAAAATAAATAAAACAAGAAAAAATTTTAAAATATGAGAATAAAGAATAAAAAAGTAAAGAAATTTTTTTTTCTGAAATGAAAAGTAGAGAAAGAAAAAGAATAAAAGATAAAAACAGACATAACAAAATTAAATCAGGAAAAGCTTTGTCAAAATAATTGGAATGGTCTACCCTGTGCATAGCAATAATTTCTATTTTAGATTTTTTGTCTTTAACTATAAAAAGAAAAAAAAAGAAAATTTTAAATCTTATATACTCTGTTTTTTTTTATTTTTTTTAACAGCAACACACAAAATGAATGACTAGAAATAAAAAATAAAACAAATTCATAGAAATACAGAGATAAACATTCAATTTCTAACCTACTTTTTTTAACTAAAAGAGCAGATGTCAGAGTGTAACTAATAGTCTGTAAAAGTTTTGCTGGCATTGGTTTACCTTGTATGCTTTTAAGAAATCCTTAAAGCGCACAAGCTTAACTTTGCTTTTTGGAGAAATCAATTTTAACATGAAATTTTCTTGGGTATGTGAAATTGAAAATCAAAATGCACTTCTACAAGAAATTAACACAAGAGAAAGCAAGTAACTCAAGTATTAGAAATGCATTCATTTTCATTCATAAAAAAAAAAAAAAAAAAGATTTTTTTTCACAATTACAAAGAAAAAAGTTTTTCTGAAGTCAACATTATTTTACTTAGAAATAAATTGTGAAAATAAATCTAAGTTTTTTGACACATGACAAAATCTAATAATATCCAAAGAACCATTTATTTTGCATTGTGTATCAATTAAGTTTCATTATAAAATAAAATTTTCATGTAAAGACTATAACAGTCCATATAATTTTTTTTTGTTAATTAATGTACTTATAAATATGTCTAAACTTTCAT